TAAGAAACATTACCACCTCAAAGAGTAAAAGCCTCAAAAGAAATGGGACTTGTAACAGGCCAGCAGCTGTTTGTTTTCGGTGAAGCACCAGGTAGAGTATAAACCTGGATTGCACAGTTAATGGGGAAACGGGAGGGTCCTGGTCCTTGGGAGGGAAAAAAAAAAGTATATAAACTGTGTATGGAATCGGTAGGTGCCCTCCTGCTTGCGGGACACCCGCCATTGTAATCTCAAATACAAATGCTCCTGTACTGAGATCCTCTCCTGAGCCTATGTTATTTCCCAAAGATTGATTCACGATTTTAAGGTTTCAGGGATAGGGCCCTAGGGTTGGGTTTCAGGGTAAGCGTTCTCAGGGTTTATGTTTAGGATTTAAAGTTTTAGTTTAGGGTTGGAGTTTTAACAGGTTAGGATTTTAGGGATTTGGGGGTTAGGGTTTTAAGGGTTTCAGGGTTAGCATGTTAGGGTTTTAGAGTTTTTTGGGTTGTAGTGTTGATAGTTTTTTTAGGGTTAGGGTCATAGGGTTTTATTTTTGGTCAGTTATTTAGGGTTAGAGTTTTAATATCTTTTTTTTTTTTTTCAGGTTAGGTTCTCCAGAGTTAGGGTTTTGAGTGTCTTAATGTTTTGAGTTGGGTTTGGGTTTTGAGCATCCTATTTTTGGGGGGGGCAGGGGCCGCGGGCATCTGTTTCCATCCTCACTCTTGCAGAAGTCATCTGGGCCGCATCAGGAGCTCTTGCTTGGGAATTGATTTCCTAAGTGTCTTCTTAGGGGGTTTTCAGTCCCCATCCTTCTGGTCTCTTGTCTTGAAGGCAGGCTTTTTAGGCCTCCATCATCCCAGTTCTGGCAGTTGCTTCCAGTCGCGTGTGGTGACATTTGAGTCTCCGCAGGGTTACTCTTTGTTTCAGTTGGAGTTGGAGACTCAGGTGTAGATAACGAGGGTGGTGCTCCGAGGACACCCGCCCTGTAAAGACACGGGGCGAATGCGAGGAGGAGGCGGAGCTGCGCCAATGAGCGCGGAGCGAAGGGCGGGCGCAGAGGCTTCGTGGGCGGGGCACGCGGCCGGCGAGGCGCGGGGAGGGAGAGGCGGGGCGCGGGGCGGGCGGGGCATGCAAATTTGTGTCGGGGCCCAGCCAATCGGGCGCGCGGGGGCCCGAACGGGCCGCTGGGAGGCCCCGGTGACGCAGCGGCGGGGCGCTTGGGGGTCGCGGCTGCGAGCGTAGCGCGGGCGAGGGCGGGCGAGGGCGGCGGGTTGAGGCCCGGGAGGGCGGGGGCGGGCGGTGGAGCGGTGGCCGTGAGGTCGGGGTGGTGGGCGCGGGAGCGGGTGGCGCGGGGTCGGTGTGGTGGGTATCGCTTCTCGGCCTTTTGGCTAAGATCAAGTGTAGTATCTGTTCTTATCAGTTTAATATCTGATACGTCCTCGATGAGAGGACTTTATATTAAACGGATTTTTGGGCTCGGGAGTTGGATCCGGAGCTTGCTCCCTCCGCTCCGCGCATCGTCCCGGTATTGCAGTACCTCCGGGAACGGTGCACCTCCCTCGGGAGGTTGCTGTGCGAGTGCAAAGACAGAGCTGGCCGCTAGGGGGGCGGTGGAACGGGACGCGCGGGACGGGGCAGCGGCCCCTGAGCAGCCTGCCGCCCGGCCGCCGCAGGCTTCCCGGCTCCGCGGAGGGCACGGCGCGGCCCAGCGCGTGCGCTCGCTTCCCGCCTCGCTGCCCCTTCCGCGGGCCGGAACGGCTCTCTGCCCCCTCGCGCTCCCGCCAGCGCCTGCCGCCCCTTTGCACTGGGGAAGCGGCCTGTCTCCAGCGGCCGGGGCGGCAGGTCGCATACTGTGGCGGGGGCAGCGTGGTTCTGAAGGTTTTCTTTGGCTTGCAGCTGGGGCTGGTGAGAGAGGGAGTTAGGAGAATCTGATCGGGTAGAGAGAGAGCGCTGGCAGCATGCAACTAGGATGCTCCCTGCTGTCTCTGCCAACTACGCTGCATTGTGCAAAATAACTAAAGCAAGAAGCCTCGGGCCCCTTACCGAGGTCAGTCTCTTCATAAGAGTGGGAGCCTGTCTTAAGAAACTGGCAGAAACCGGTCCTGAGGATGGACAGGAGCCAAGGAGCAGCCGACTCTGCGCAAAGACAAGAGGGCAGCTAGCGGGGACGAGGAAGGGCCACCAACCTTCATCCCCATGACCCCCGACGACCGCCACCGGGAGACACTGCGCGAGCGCGGGTGGGGGGGTGCTTGTGGAAATGACTTCTCGAACTACTTTTAACGTGAGGCGGGGACGGGCTGTGAATACGTGTAGGCGCACTGTGAAACTTCGTGCAAATGTAACTCTTTGCTGCGTATAACCGCGGCAAGTTGCCGCGTCCGGTGCACACGACTTTGGCGGGACTACCCCCCCGTGCTGCCCAGCGCTGAGTAAACAGACCTACTTTTGCAGTCTTACTGATTGTGGACTCTGTTTGCCGCAAGTCAGTTTGGCGAGCCGGCCGGGAGAGACGTTCCGCTCGCTCGGCTGCGGGATCGGCTGCGGAGCGGACGCCCCTAGGTGCACCCCGAGCATTTTCCTCGGGGGAGCCTCCGCTCTGAGCCGCTCACCGCGGGAGCAGACAAAGACCTCCTGAGGCCGCGGACAAACGGTAAGCTTTACAGTACGGGAAGGGCCCGTAAGTCGTACGAGTGGCTGGGGCGGCTGGTAAGTCGCGCAGAGACGTCTGGTGTGCAGCAGAGTCCCCGTATGGGAGGAGGGTACGCTACAGGCTGACCGGTAGAGATGTCGAGGGGGGGTCGCTGGCCGACAGAGATGTCGGGGGGGGGGGGGGGGGTCGCTGGCTGATAGAGCGGCCGCTAGAGATCTTGGGAGTAGATGGAGCAAATGCGAGGTTACCGCTGCCTCCCAGTTTTGGGAGCCAGGACGGACCTGCTAATGACCGCATAAGACGCAGGAGAAAGGTAAGCGGGCCTCTCGAAATTGTGACAAGGTTACCCGGGTAATAGCAGCAGCTGCTGGGGGGATGTTAACTGGAGTGGTAATAATTGCGTGTCTTATTTGTAGGTGTCTGGGTATGTCACGTTGAAAGCATTGGCGTAAGTGTGTGTGTTTGAGACAAAGTGCTGTTGTGAAGTGACTTACGAACACGTTTGGTTGTTGTTTTAAGTGATATATTCTTGTGGTATGAGCGAGGAGTGCAGGGGGCCTCTTTGCGTGACGGCATGATTGTGCTGGGTGAGCGAGGCGCAGCATCGCCGTGAAGCGAGTGCAGCGTTCCGATCCGCGGTCCCGTATCCTCCGTGAGGGGAGCGGCCGGGGACGAACGAAGCGCACGACAGACCGAAAGGAAGTGCTGTTTGATCCAAGTGCTGACTGGTGGTGCCCAATATATGCGCCCGGCGGTGCATCTCGTAATCCCATTTTTGTTCTTAAATGTTTGGAGTGTGACAAGGAGGAAGGTGGTGGCGTTATCTAAGTGACAGTTTAGAAGTCTGGATATATTTGCTGTGGTGTTTGGTCAGTTTCCCAGGTATCGGGGGAGAGGGGCTGACCGATTATCAAAGTGGCAGAACGGAGAGAGTCGCTTCTGTGTTGGTTTGGCCTTGAGCCCTTGGGAATTTGGTAAGAAGGGGGAGAGCGAATTTATTTAGGCCTCAATACCTTTTTGAGCCCCCATATTGATGGATACGTAGGAGTGATTCCTTGTTTTGTGCGAGCTTACTAACAAAGTGCATGAGAAAAATTGGCACTCGGCTTGAAATTCGGCCCTGCTGAAATGTAAATTTTGTGGAAAAGGTGGTACTGTTTGTCTAGAAGACGGAGGGCTGAGTGCTTCAGGTGTCTTCCTGAAGTCCTGTGGATTTCTGATTGGAACGGGGCTCATCAATAATCTGAAATAGTAACGTTTGTACGTGGACAGAAGAGTTGAATCCCAGAGAATTGGGACATTTGGGAAGAAGATTAGGAAAAGAGAGTAAAAACCTGTCACTGGAGCCCCAGGTGCGGCTAATGAGGGTGGTGATCTGGGCAGCCCCTCCTCATAAAAGGGCTGCACCTGGGTGAGGGTGGCAGCTGTGGGGCTGGTGGAGGAGGAAGGTGATGAGGGGGCTGTAGTTGCAGTTTGTCTGCCTTGCAGCCCCTCTGCTGCTCGGGACAGCCAAGCTGGGTCCGGAAAGGTCTTTAGAGAAACCTTGGAGCACGGTGAGGTTACTGAGCGTTGCTGGGACCGTGGCAAGGAAGAAGGTGCGTGCAAGCAGGAGTTCCTGGGATCGTGGAAGTCCTGGGCAGCAGGGCTGCCTGTGTGCTGAGGCTGGCTGGGGAAGGACTCGCTGAAAGTTGGGGTGGGCGGGTGGGCGCACGCAGGCACGGTGAGCCCCGTATGCGAGGAAAGCCCCGCACGTCTGTGCACGTGCTGTCATTCTTCACGAATCTGAGCGACTCTGAGCGACATACAGCATTATACAGCAACTACAGCAATTGTACAACCCAAAGGACTGCCTGTTCTCACCCCAGATGCCCTTGAGGGTTTTCAGGCTGCCCCATACTTCTGCATCAGCTGCTGAGTGCACCCACGTCCTTGAGCAAAAGCAGCCCCATGGACGGCTTTGCCTTTGCCTGAGGCAGGCATAAGTCAGACCGTTTTCACCAGTATGGCTTTTTTTTTTTTTTTTTAATATGCACTGCAAGGACTTTATCCCTTTCTCCGCGTGTAGGAATTTTCATTGGGCAGAGCTAGCTCGACTGGCAGACTAACCAGGTGGCTGTTGCTACATGTGCATCCTACCTGGGCAGCCTGCTCTAAGGAACCTGCTTTGGCAGGGGGGTTGGACCCGATGATATTTCGAAGTCCCTTCGGGACCTCGGTGCACACCGAAGCGCAAGCATGGGTGTCGGTAGCCTAGTAACGGGCTGACTGGAAGGGTATTTTTTTTTTTCCTTCCGTGTAACAAACGGCACTCCTGGCAGGTGAGCAATTTAAGCAGCCGCAGCTCCAAGCACCGGCGCGGTTCAGAGGGCAGGGTGCGGGTCCGATGTCCCGTAGAGCCCCAGAGCGCCCGAAGGAAGGACACGGAGGTGCCGTGGGGGAGCCGGGGGAAAGCAGGGGGGGCCCGCACGGGTCGCTTGGCGAGGCGGCGGCCGCGGCGCGTCCCCGCGAGCCTTGGCCCGGCCGCACGGCGCCTGGCGGCGCGGCCCCGGCCCGGGCGGGCGGCTGCAGGGCGGGGCCGGGCCGCGGGGCGGGGCCGGCGGAGCTGCCCCTCCTCCGCGCCGGAAGGAAGAGGCGCCGGGGCGGCGGGAGCGTTGCCGGGGCAGCGCCGGCGGCCCAGCAGCGCCATGACGTCGCTCCGCGCCTTCACCTGCGACGACCTGTTCCGCTTCAACAACATGTGAGGGACACCACCTCCCCCCCGGCCCCGGCCCCGCAGCCCGGCCGGGCCCGCGCTGAGCGCCGCGCTCTCTCTCTCTCTCTGTCTCTCCCCCACCCCCCCCTCGCTCTTCCCGCAGCAACCTGGACCCGCTGACGGAGACCGTATCCTTCCGCTGCCGCCGGCCGCCTGGCGGGAGGCCTCGGGGGGCGCCGCGCTGCTGTGGCCGTGCTCCTTAACTGGCGGCCGCAGTACGGGATCCCCTTCTACCTGCAGTACCTGGCGCACTGGCCCGAGTACTTCATCGTGGCGGAGGCGCCCGGCGGGGAGCTGATGGGTTACAGTGAGTGCCCCGGCCCCGGCCCCGGCCCCGCCGCTCCGGGGCCGCAGCGCTCGGCGGGGGCTCCGGCTGCTCTCGGGCCGCGGGGCGGGCGCGCTGCGAGCGGCGCTGAGCTCCGGGCGCGGGCTCGGGCTTCCCTTCGCCCGCCGAGAGCCAGCCCTGGGCCGGGGAGCCGAGCCTTGCCTTGCCTTGTCCTTGCCTTGCCGCGGTGGCGTTCGCCAGCAGTACCCGCTACTCGGGCTGTCTGCCGGTTCGCCCTCCTCGTTATCGCTGCCCCGGCATCCCGGGAGGCCTTTGCAGGGACTGGGGAAATGGCCCGTTCTACGTGTTGAAGCCTAAAGCGTTGGTGCTGTGAGTGACGGGTGTTTCTGAAGTACTGCGTGCGACAGGAGGTTTGGAGGGTTGTTCGCAATCTAACGCTTGTGTGGTGCTATGTAGAAACAAGCTCCAAAGACACCCCCGCTCCCCACCCGACTCTTCCCCCTCCCCCCAAAATAACAAACAAACAGAAAAACCCACCTCTTTTGGCTACATGTAACGTGTTTGCAGGGTCTAAGCTGTCTTTTGCCAGATTAGCAAAGCTGCCCAAGTTCTACCCCCTCAAAGCGACCAGGAATTTCCTTTAGTTGCTCGGGTGATGAACTAGTTTTTTGGCTTGTAGCCCTCTGTTCTTCCATTATTCCAGTCAGACCCCGAATTCTGCTCGTTTAGACTCGTGAGAATTGCTTAAGGCTTTTATTTAGAAGGCACTCTTCAAAAAACAAGTTTTGAAAAATGACTTAACTTTTTTAATGCTAGTCGAGAGAATAGTGTAAAACGAGCAAAATGATGTCTGATGCAACGAAGCAGAACTGTACCATCTGCATTGTCTGCGGTAGGTGAAGTTGGGTGTCAGAATAGGTTCTGTTAGCGTGCAGTTGGTGAAATCAGGAACTAGCATCTGGGGGTCTTTCCAGTAGAGCTTGGAATCCAGATGGAAATGTGACCTTCAGGGGCCTTGCCTGCCTTTCTCTGAAGCTCTGGTATTTGACCTGTAACCGTACAGAGTTGCTAAGTCATAGAGCGATAATACAGACATGCCTTGTTCAGCTTTTCGCCACAGTTGTTGCAGCATGTGTTCATATACTCCTCTGTAACGATGTACACCTGGGGTGCGTTGTCCCAGAGGTGCTGCTGTGCTGATACTCTGTCTGTCTGCAGTAATGGGTAAAGCAGAAGGCTCTGTGGCCAGGGAAGAATGGCACGGACATGTTACTGCTCTCTCGGTTGCACCAGAATTTCGACGGCTGGGTTTGGCTGCCAAGTTGATGGAACTATTGGAAGAAATCTCAGAAAAGTGAGTATTACCCTTCTCTTTAAGCTGATCTTGTAAAGTATTCTTTCTGTAGACTTTTGTCCCTGGTTTAGGTATTTGTTTTACATGAAACATACCCAGACTCCCGGACTTCTCTATTAAATAGCGCCCCCAACTGACTGAAATTCCCTGTAGTTAGAGAACAAGAGCTAAAAACTTTGCTCGGCATTTTAAAATGTCTTGATTTCTATGAAAGCTCACTTGCCATGATGAATGGGAAGTAGTCTAAATTTCAGCAAAGACACAGTATAAACTATCCTTTTCTTGATATTTTGTGAAGTTCTTTTCCTACCAACAGTGTCTTCCACAGTGCCCCCAACATACTTGTTTAGCGGCTGTGGGCTTTGTGCAGGTTCCCTTGGACGCAATATTACGCAAATGTAGTGCTGCAGACAGTAACTTAGCCAGCATGAGATGGAAAATAAGCTTACTCGTACCTGCAGAAAATAAACACATTAGGGAAATGTCCCTAGCTCATGCCAGTAGAGCAACCCTGTTGTGGTTGGTTGAATCCCCAAATTGCTTGATTCTTTGAAGAACTTGCATACTGAGGGCTGTCTCCTGTTAGGCAACTGAATTGTGAGACTGATTTTTCTTCCCCTGTTCATTTTGAAGGGGGCAGTCAGTCCCTAAGCTAGTGCAATGTAAATGCATCTAAAATACTGATTATAATTAAAATATTTATATATATATATATATATATACATACATATATATACACACACACACATATATATTTATATTCATATAATATTTTATATATATATATAATATATATAATTATTCATATATATATATATGAAAATGAGGCTTCTGTGGGTATTTGGCTGGCCCTGTTCTTTTTGTTAATAATTCTGAGTGTACTGGATGGTGTAGAAGATTGTTCATGTGACCAAAAAAAATAACTTCTGCCAATACTGGGCTTGTCCTGTGCTAAAAGGAATGCATCTGTTATTACAGCGTGAAACATACCTGATTAGTGTATTGCCTCATCAGACCTGTTCTTGGTTACATGTTGTGGGTTTTTAATTGGAAATATATTCACCTGCTCGTTCTTACTGTGTTTTGTTTATTTTTTAAAAGAAAGGGCGGATTTTTCGTTGATCTCTTTGTGAGAGTATCAAATCAGGTTGCGGTAAACATGTATAAGCAACTGGGCTACAGTGTGTACCGGACAGTGTTAGAGTACTATTCTGCTAGCAATGGAGAGCCTGACGAGGATGCTTATGGTAAGTACTTGTTCTACCCCCACGTTGAATGGAAAGATCCTCTTGTGTGTCCTAGGGTTGTCCCTGTGTTTTGTGTATAGGGGAAAAGTTAAGGTGGTTGTTGTTTAATGGGATTTTACTTCTTCCTTTAGATAGCTTTTCCTGCTGAGGATTAATATCTGTTAAAAAAATCAACCTTGTGGTTTGCACGTTGCATTGTATCCACGGTAAAATAAAATACCAGATGAGTAAGCTATCCAGTACAAAGACATGTTATTCTGTGAGTAAGGATAAATAACATTCGGTTACTTGTCTAATGGAAAGAATGCTCCTGGCAGGTGCCTGGACTTCTTCCTGATGCCACTGGGAAGAGGAATGGCTGTGCTTTCCTTCTTCCTTTCTCTTCCCTCCTTTTCTGTGACAGTCCTTCCCCCCCCCTCCCCCCCCCCGCTTTTGTTTTGTTGTCCCTTGATTATATGGACTTGAGGAATTGTTTTTCTCAGCCAATTAAAATCTTACAGAGGCTAATGGTCCACAGTGACAGAGAATTGGGTGGCCTTTCCAATTTAAAGGATAAAGGACATGGTAATTTCAAGTACTGTGTTAACAAAATAGGAGTACTAGGTGCTTGTTATTGCAAGGTATTTTTTCCTGTAAGCGTCCTCCACGAAAGCTTCTTTGGGCTTGCTGTGTATTTTTTCTGTTCATCCATTCATCTTTTCAGATTAAAGTAACATACAAAATACAAAGGCTGTGGACAGACAACTACAGTTGTTGCAGATCTTTTTCCTCTTGCTACAGATATGAGAAAAGCTCTTTCCAGAGATACGGAGAAGAAATCTATTATACCTCTTCCTCATCCTGTGAGACCGGAAGACATTGAGTAACTGTAAATTGTGATTCTCAGGCATCATGCTCAGAATTTTGGATTGCTTTTCTGTCTACCTTACAGATGAGAAAACATAGCCGCAATGTTTTTTTTTTCTCATGAAATACCAAAAGCAATATTGAGAAGTTTACTTACACCGTCTTTATTGGTAATAGCTGCAGACTTGTGAACTTCCCCTAGTGAATTTTCTTTTTAAATATTGGTAATGCAGAGACTATTAAATGGAATCACCTGGTGACATGGTGCACGGTGTGTGTTTTTTTATTTTTCTCAAATCAAAAATAACTGGCCAGTAATAGTAAAACTCCTAAAAAAGCTATTATTCATGACCAGTGAAAATATTATTGTACAATACACAGGAAGAGGGACAAGGGGAGGTAGTGTATTAATACTTTCATAGAAAAAACACCTGTTACAGACAATTTGGACATTTTTCTCAAGTTCTGTGGCACAAGGAGGGGCTGAACTCAATTTGGTCCACGCTCAATGGGGAAAATCCAGGCAAATAAAGAACTCAAGGATTCCCATCTACGGAGGACCTGATTCAAGACCAGTTCTTGGTACCATACATAAACTTGGAATGCTGCATCCACTGAAATAAGGCACAGTAAGGGTTTCTTGCGTTCTGAGCCAATACTGCAGGTATTTAACCTAAGGGTGGAACGCCACCTGCTGGTGAGAAGTAAATACTGCAGGCCGGCCGAACGCCACGCATAAGCGATGGCGCCCGCGGGCGCCCACTGCCGCCACCTGCTGTTCGGAAAGGGGTACTGCGGGCGGCCGGTCGCCGCGAACGCGATCTCTGCCGCCACCTGCTGGTGGAAAACGAGTACTGCAGGCAGCCGGGGGCCGCGTATACGCAGTATTCCCCGCGGGCGCCCTCTGCCGCCACCTTCTGGTGTTAAGAGAGTACTGCAGGCGGCCGGCGGCCGCGCATGCGCGGTGGCGCGCTCGGGCGGCCTCTGCCGCCACCTGCTGGTGGGAAACAAGTACTGCAGGCGGTCGGTGTCCACGCATGCGCGTTGCTTATTACGTCTCTTTCTGATGTGTAATTTCCTACGCTCCTAGATTTTTCTTCATATGTAAATGAAAGGTTTGAGCCAATTCCTGTTGAAAATATTTCATTTACTTTCTTGGTTGTATTGTCTTTTCTTTGTTTAAAACTGAGGTAAAAATACGGTAAATTTTGCTTCTAGAGAACGCCACAGTTCTTTTGTCTGCACTCCGCATGCTGTAAACTAGGGGTAGGGAAAAATAAATAAATAAATAAATAAATAAAAGAACACAGCTGCTGCTCCTGCTCTCTTTCTTGTTTTTTGCCCCCTCCTCTTTCCCAGGTGATTGGGTTTGGGTGCTGGGCGGGGCCAAATGTTATACGAGCCCTAGGCATTCTATCAGAGAGCTCCTTCTGCGTGGGCTGCTCTTTGGGGTCGGTGCTTTGTTTATTCTTCTGTTAGCTACATGCAGGGTTCTTTTCGTGGGTCAGAGTCTTGTACGATATTTTAGAGGAAACCAATCTAGTAGTACGTGCATTTATTGCAAGAAGCTCTTTGGAGGTGATTAATTGTTATAGCACTTTTATGGATAGGATGTCAATGTTATTTTGTGTGTTTGCTTTGTTGTTCAATGTCCCTCGTAATTTTTGCAGGGTTACAGGGCAGATGCCACCAGGTCTACCCCTTTTGTTGTTTTTGTTTTGTTTGATTTATTTTTCTTATTTTCTTTTTCGGAAGGGGGTTTGGGATTTGAGCGTCCTATTTTTTTGGGTTTGGGATTTGAGCATCTTAATTTTGTGGGTGTGGGATTTGAGCGTCTTAAGTGTTTGGGTTAGGGCTTTTAGGCATAGGTCTTCAGGGGTTTAGTGTGGTGGATAGTTTGGGTTAGGTCTGTAGGGGTTTCGAGGATTTTTAGGGTTAGGGCTTGCGGCTTCTTTGTGTAAGGGCGGTAAGGGCTAGGGTTCCAGGGAGTGCTGTTAAATGGAGTTCTCGACAACTCGGCCTCTGATTGGCCGTGCCGGCTGTGCAGGGAATGCTGGTAGGTGTAGTTTTCCGTCACAAGGCTTCCGGTAGGCCGCGTTGAGTGCCCAGAGCATGCCGGGAAATGTAGTTCTGGGACTCCGGACTTCCGGGAGGCCATGTTGGGTGCCCGGAGCATTCAGGGAAATGTAGTTCTGGGACTCCGAACTTCCGGGAGGCCATGTTGAGCGCCCAGAGCATACCGGGAAATGTAGTTCTGGGACTCCGGACTTCCGGGAGGCCATGTTGGGTGCCCGGAGCATACGGGGAAATGTAGTTCTGGGACTCCGAACTTCCGGGAGGCCATGTTGGGTGCCCAGAGCATACCGGGAAATGTAGTTCTGGGACTCCGAACTTCCGGGAGGCCATGTTGAGCGCCCAGAGCATACCGGGAAATGCAGTTCTTGGGGACTAGGGTTGGGGTTAGGGACTAGGGCTGGGGCTAGGGTTAGAGCTTAGGGTGAGGGTTGGGGTTAGGGTTAGGGCTAGTGAATGCTGGTTCTCTGTGTTTGCAGATGACGGTGAGTGTGTTTAAACTAATTCCAGTTGAAGAAGTTTCAGTTACTTGCTTGGTGACGTTATCAGTTCAACATTAAAAGCTGCAGCAAAAGCAAAAGGGGAGTTTTGCTTCTAGGAACAACGCAGTTCTCGTCTGCTCTCGGAATGTTTTTGAGATAAACCAGATTTTAAAAAACAAAGGAAAAAAAAACACAGCTGCTTCTTTTGCTCTCTTCCTACTTTCTCGTGCTTTGCCCTGATTAAGGGGGTATTGGGGAGGCATTGGGGAGGCAAGGACAATCCCCAGACATGGACTGTATATCTCGAAACAAGACACTGGAACTCATGATAAGGAAGCGGCAGACGGACAGAGAAACAAATGTAAGGACTATAAATCTCAAAACTGGACATTGGAATTCATTATAAAGATACAACAAACGGAAGAATTGGCAACAACCAGCTCTCGCAATTAAGAAACGTGCCAATTCAGCAGATTCCTGACCAAAGGTGAAAAGTACACTGTGAGGAAGACTCGGGGTCTTCCTCCCAAAGACCCCTGCCCACGTCCCAAAGACCCCTGCCCACAATTCTTGGAAGGCTCTACGCAGGCGCAAGGTGCCAAAAGGCTAATTAGCATGAGAAGCGAGGGAAGGCGGGGATAGGTAATGCATATGTATAGTGCTTGTAGAATATTGATAGATTGATTGTATAAATTCAAGACTGCTTTCCGCTTTGGGTATGCACGATAGGTGGAGAGATCCCCCGTGCATCCAGCGCTGCAATAAAGAATATACCACTTAAAGGAATTTCGGCTTCGATCTTTGAATCAATCTGGCACCCCAGATGGGACTACCTCTCTGCCAGTCCGCAGGACCCGCTGGGGACAGGACTCCCTAGGGTACCCCCGGGATTTCCCGGGGGGACTCCTCGACTCACCGGATCACTGCGGAGGCAGACAAGGACCCCATCATTGTAAGTGAGTATATTCTTTATTCTGGTTTGGTTTTCTGGTAGACCGGTCATCTGGGACTGTCCAGTAAGTCGGAAGGTGATCTTCTGCAGGACAGTATTTGGTATATACTTTGTGGTTAGTACCACAAGTATATCTGGGGACCTTGAGGTCCATCTGTATCTGGAACTGTCTGTAAGTAGGAAGGTGATCTTCTGCGAGGCAGTGTTTGGTATATACTTTGTGGTAAGCACCATAAGTATATTTGGGGACCTTAAGGAAAGAGCTCGCTTTAAGGTCCATCTGGAATTGTGTTGTCTATTTCGGTTTTCTGACTCATGGAGTATGGTATTTAACTCTGGTTATTGTTACTGTGATTTTGGCTATTTTTCTGGTGGTAATAGTAGGTTCGTGACATTGTTATAAGAGAGAGATCGTTACGGTGTTACACAGTTCGGTTTTCTGACTTATCGCATGTGGAATTTGACTCTGACTATTGTTATTGTGATTTTAGCAATATTGCTGGTAATAGTAGCTTTGTGACATCGCTACTGAAAGATATTGCGTGCCTGTAATTTTGTGAGTGATACGTTTTTGTGATACATTTTTGTAAGTGATATGTGTATTCTGAAAGTGTGAACTGGAAAATGGGGGGGGCACACAAGCAGTGAAATTTTAAAGAAAAGTGCGTTAGGATGTGTTTTGAGTCACTGGAAGGATATTGGAGGATCTGCCGGCGAAAGTGTGAACAGGAAAACATTGATAAAATATTGTAATCAATGGTGGCCGCTTTATAAGCTGGAATGTGGAGAAAAGTGGCCCCTAAATGGAACTTTAAACTCTAATGTTTTGCTACAGTTAATGTTGGTTTTGAGAAGGAGAATAGGATGAAATGTTGTATACAGATGTTGTTTCAGCATCTTGGTGGGAAAACGTACGGAATTAAGTTGGCCCCAGACTGAGCCTTTGATGTTGGCATTAGAGAAGTACAGGCTGGAGAAAGATAAAGGAAGTGTTAAAAGGGTTGTTGAAAGTGTTAAAGGTGTTTGAAGTTGAATGAGCAGGGAAAGAGGATGTAGGAATGTTAATAGTTCTGCCTCTGCTCTAGGCAGAGATCTTAAAATCATGGGTGTTAGCCCTTTGGGGCAAAGGGATCATGATGGGTCCGAGAGAGAGTTGTTATGGAAACAGAAAAGCAGTTAACTCTTAAAACAACCTGAGTTCATGTGCGAGCTCAGATTACCGATGGGACCGCTCAGGGAACTGTGGACAACTGCATTCCCCTGACCGACCCCACTGAGACCCTAATCATCCCTAAAATTATGAACGGCTAAGTAAATACTAAAATCTGGATGAATTGGGAATTGAGAATATGCTTCCAACAAGGTCTAAAAGAAACCCCTATGGAATTTTTGGACCAACTCTGAAATGTAAAGAAATTAAATAAATAAATAAAACAAAATGGTTTGGACCTGGCTTCGGAGGACAAATTGACTAGCCTTTTTCTAGGGTAATCATTGGTCCCTGATTTCAACAGGAATAACGGGGACCTGGGGAATCTACCCTAGCAGATCCTCCACTGATTATAATGAAGCTAGGGGAGGAATGGAAGTGAAATTTCTTATTGATATGGGGCAACGTATTCAGTTCTAAATCAAGCATTAATGCCTTCACAGAATTATTATGTTAGGGTAAAAGGTGTGTTGTGGTTTAACCCGGCTGGCAGCTAAACACCACGCAGCCGTTCGCTCACCCTCCCCCTCCCTCTCTGGGACGGGGGA